GTTTTCCCTGTGGCTGCATTTCTCTTAAGAAGTATGATTATGAACACAGTTTGGAGATGGAGCTTGTCACTCTTCTTTTAGAAATCATTTTTCATGCTTGTTCCTGTCTGATCTGGAATGTGTGGAGCAAGACTGAGTTGGTATCTTACATGAACAAATCCTATCTCTGCTCTCTGACTCTTGCAGCAAGGAGCCACCACCGTTGGGATGGGGGAAGGCGTTTCCCAGCTCCTAAGCACGGTCTGTCAGTGTACAGCCTGGGTGACAGTGGATTTCCTGGGACTATCTATAGCCAGCTGAGTGACAACATTTCCATTGATGCCATTCAATAGTGGATTAGGCTCCTGCTCATCCAGCCCCTCGCATCTTTTCTCCCTCTGCTCTGACACAGCTGTCATACCCCTTTGATTATTGGGAGTCACTAGGTGTTCTTGGTAGTACTTCTGCACTGACAGGCTGCAAAGGAGAGTTATCAACTGAAAACATACCTGTATAGAAAGCAAAGCTCCTTTTTTCATAAATATGCATTTCTCAACCTCTGTCTATTCCTGTCTGAGAGGGTTTTGGAAACTGAAAACCAAGAGAAGGTTCAATGAAAGTGAAATACGCTTCTGAATAAAAAATTTCCTACAAGGCAAACAGGTCCTGCCGATTGACTCATGGCTTACCGGAAAGCAGCCTGATGTAACAGGTCTTAGCAGGTGGTGATCTCACCTGCAAGAGCCTGAAGGAGGCTGATAGCTGCCAGGTTTTATCAACGGCCTCCATCTGGCAGAAGAGTAGCCAGAGATCAAACTATGGAACTATTCTCTTTCACACTAAAAGAGCTAGGAGAATCTGAAATCCTGTTATAGGGAGGTGAGAAACCAAAGAAAGAATGAGGACCCCAATACTTCTGCTGATTCTTTGATATGTTCACTGTAGCAAGAAGAGAAAATTGCATGGGGGAATATGGGAAAAGGTAGAGAAGTGGAAGGGGAGAACTGTAAACTGTAAAAGGAGAGGTATGCAGGAATTGCTGCCTATGTGCAAAACAAAAATGAGATCTGGGGAGGCAGAATGGCTTCTTTAAAGGTAAAAGGAAACTTTTACCTAAAAAAAGTCTCAGAAGTGCTTACTAACCATCAGTAGACATTGAAGAAAACCATCAGAGGCTTTGTTAAAGAAAAGAAAGAGAGGGATTCCAGACTTTGGTGTAATTTAGGGATAACTTATGCTTAAAATTCTGTCAGGTGGTTGGGCTGAATTGTAATTGACAGCATGAGGGAACTGTTTGGCTGGCAGTGGAGTCAGTGAAGCAAAAGCTTTGAAACATGTAACTGCTTTTGGAGTGGAGCTTTTTTAAACTACCCTAAATTCTGCTTGAATAAAGCCTGAGTAGTTCATCAGGTTCCAGGACAGCCTTTTAGAAGGAAGCAGAAAACTGACTGTGCAGCAGGAGGATCTGTATTTAGATGGAGCAGTGTCCCTTTCTTTCTTTTAATAATTCTAACGTGAATGCTTGCAAAGTGTAAATTTGTCCTTTTCCCCAGTAAGGACAGTCTGAAACTTTTGCCATCCTCTAGTTTTCTACATCCTGCCAATGGTCTTTTAAGTCTCTTTAATGGGAAAGCCATGTTGAGTCATTTAATGATTAGCCTGCATGTGAACTTTAAATTGAAAACAGCAGCTACAATTAAGAGAGCCCATGCTGCCTGCTGCAGGCTGCAAAGACCAGTAGTGGAAAGTGTGGAGGCTTGTCAAGCCTGCTAAATAGAGATGGCCAGTTTCCAACTCTCAAAAGGAGGAGGTGATGGATGAGAGATGGGGAAAGAAACAATCTCAGACAAACAAGGCTCCTTTAGAACAGCCAGCACAAGCTGCCACTGTGCACAAAATGCTTGCAAACGATTTTCCTTTGTTGGAGAACTGGCTGTTTCAGTTATGGGTGAGATGCTTTCCTTACTTTGTATTGATCTTAGGTGTAAGTAAATTTTTCAAATAACTTGGGAGAGGTGAATGCAAGACCCATTCAGACCAGAGCTGCTCAACACATGGTCAGAGCCAACACTGTACTCAGACCACTGCCAGAGCAGAGGGGAAAGCACCTCCTCGCATCCCTCCAAAGATGTGAGGAAGGCTGAGACTGCAGCTCATTGCCTGGAGAGGTATTCCAGATGGCACCCTACTGGAAGGTTGGTTCTTGCATACTGGGGTGCTCACAGCCACCTTGGGGTGACTGCTGGCCAGATGCTGCTCTTCCGGTGTAAGAGATGGAGGCAGCTGGGTTGTGGGACTTTCACAACAGTTTGTCAAAGGTCAGAGTGAGGGTGACAGTGTTGCTTCTTCTCTCTGGCTTACAACCAATAGTATCCGTGCTTCTGTGCCACCTCTGTTCTTTTTCAAAAGCAAATCTGTCTGTGATCAGTGCTTTATGAAAGCTATGGAATACTGCAAAGGTAGGGTTCAGCAGGCCTTGCTCAGACAAAATATGCAAGCTACTTTTCTAACTGATTGCCCTCTGAATACTGGGTGATGGAAAACAGGTCTCAAGCGCAACTACTTTGTTTGAGGGAGACCTGTGAGGTGAAACAAAAAGATAAAGGCAGTAGGAATGCTCCAGCACCATATGAAAGCCAGGTAACATAGAACCAATAGCATAGGCTTTCTCTCATCAAGTCCAGGTGCAAGAGAAAATAATAATGGTACAGGTTCTATACCTGTATACCATATATTCTGGTACAGTTAGATACCTGTAAAAGCTGATGATAAATGGCAGTTGTCACATAAGCTGAAAAACAAACCTGAGATTTTATAATAATCTGTTATAACAACTTGTAGTCTGTTCTGCTGCACTTTTTTGTGAACAGAGAGCACGCTTTTGTGACATGTAAGGAGGGATAAAACCAATGAAAAGGCTTTAAGGATCTTCATCCTTAATAATTTGTACTGATGAGTGGAGGTGACCACATAGCAAGATTCAAGCACGTGTTAGGGTGATGAGATGATGGAGCTGAAACTGTCAGCACACCAGTTCCAGACTGGGTTCATTCATGTATGTTGGGCAGTAAGCAGTAGCAGTGCTGATATGAGAGCAGGAGCAGATTGATGGCTGGAGTCACAGGTGCTGAAAGCATAGGAAAGGGCCTCCTGCTCCTCCTCTAGGGCACAGAAATTAGATAGGAGCAGGAGCGCTTCCAGCAAGTGCTGACTAGGAGTGGTATGGTGAAGATAATCACAGCTGCTACTCCAGAGTGAAAAACAGTCGCTATAGTGATCTCTCATGTGTAAGCATTGCAAATTAGTACATACTCTCATGTTTATACAGTCTCACAGGAATATGTGCAGCCTTACACATCTAGGTAGCCACATCTGTGGAAGCTTTCAGCCCTTATATGTCTTCTTTCTGAAGAAGCCTGTAGCTGGCAGTGAGAGGAAAGATACTGGACTAGAGAAACTTGTCCTTTGTTGCATTTTGTGATTTTAATGAAGCCTAAGCATCAGTCTCTGAGATCACTTCAAACTCAGGACATAGTACAGACTGTCCAGGTTTTTGAAGCATTGTTCTTTAATGGTGTGACCTATGGACGTTCTGGAAAGAGAACAAGTCTACATCATAGCAAGCAATAAAGCTGTGGAAGCAGCTCAAGCGGCCTTCACATCCAGTGCAGAGGATGATGGCTTTTTGGCACTGAAAGCAGAATCTCTGAAGGCAGAAGAGCATTGCTCTTCTAGGAAGTCTGAGAACTTGTGTCTAAGCTGTAACGAGAATGCAGGGTAGTCACAAGCTTCTGGTGATTTGCACCGACTGAAGGCCCCAGTGTGGCAGCTTAAAAGCTTATTTTTCTCTTTTATGTCTGTCTTCATGTCTGTTTCTCTTATCAGAAGAAGTTTTCTCAGGCCCTGCAGAATCAGGCTCTTATGTTAACAGCTGACACTCTGTCCTGATTGAGTTGCAGCCAGGAGGGGCCTTTTGGTGATCCAGCTGCAAGCATGATTTGTGCCACCCCTCCTCCCTGTAGGCTAATAGAAAGGAGCAGCAAGGCAAGTATGCTGTGAGAAGAAACAGATGCTGTTTTACTCCTGTTCAGGTCTCTGGTGACTGCTTTGAACTCTGTTTTGTTTGAATACAAATACAATTGTTAATAACTTCACTATCTGAGGATAATGGAACGACTACACAAAAGGGAGTTAATTCCATCTTTCACTGAGCTGATTGGTGCAGCTTGTTTTGCATTCTAAGTGCTGTGTAACTCCCCAGCAGCAGAAACCTCTCACTTAGAAGTAATACCAGTTTAAACCTTGGTATGCTGCCACTTTTCTCTCAGCCCAACCTCAGCTCCTTTACTACTGGTGGTGTGTGCCTAAGGTGTGCTATTCTGGTATAACTGGTAGTTGGACTTCCGCTCGGAGAAGATGGTATAGCCTCTCCCATTGTGTGCAGTGACTCTTGCTAAATAAAATTTAAAGCTCTGTCTGGTCTTGTGATGAATGCAACTGTTGCTTTTGCCAGCAAGAAGTACAGATGAACTCTATCACTTCTGCTATCTGCCTGTGTTACCTTTTCTCTGCTTCCTTTGAGGATCCCCTGTTGGCTAGCACATGGCTCCCATAATGCCTACATACACCTGACTCCTTGTGTTGAGTTTTTGTATGTAGGGTCCCCCTCTCCCATGAGGGTTCATACAGCCAAAGCCTAGTCCCTGTTCTGTGGACAGGAGAATTCTTCCCCTGCCTATCTCAGTGGGAGAAAGATATTCCATAACTTGACTTCAGATGTAAGAATTGTGCCTGTAATTTTAATTATGTGGTGACTGGCAGTTCAGTGCCTCTCTACACAATTTGGTTGCTAAAGGTGAGATTTATTTCTCAAGATGCTCACAATGAGTAGTTCCTCTAAGTGGCTAATCCAGCAGCACTTAAAGCAAACAACAGATTTGAGAGACGTGTGGGGGAGAAAGTTCTTGTCTGAGCTGTGTTGATGATGGCGCTGTTCTTTTTCTCTCCTTCCCTACCCCCAGTTTGCTCCCAGTGAAGACACGCAGGGCACCATGTCACTGGCATCCTGGTTCAGGTGGAATGAGCCCCCAAATCGGATTTCCCAGAGGAACCCCACAGAGATGGTGGTTGAGACGCTAATGATGGAGCTGAGCTGGCAGATCAAGCAGGCAGAGAAGCAGCAGCGGGAGCGGGAGAATGAGTATCGCAAGATCAAGACTGGGGTGGACTACGGCTGGCTGGTCAGCTACTCAAAGCAGAGCTATGATATCAGCCCAGGAGAAAGGCTGCAGCTGGAGGATATGTGTACCAAAATACATCCCTCCTACTGTGGGCCTGTCATACTCAGGTACAGTAAAAGATCTGATGATCCAGACCTTCCCTTTCCCTCTCTCCTCTTTATGGTGTGTGAGGGGGGAGCAAGAGTTGTTAGAACCAACAGAACCAAGACTTGGGCATCCTGTACTGAGGATTTTGTTGTGGCAATGTCTTCATTGCCACAATCAGTGGGAGAAGAAAGGCTGAATGTTTAAAGTCAGATTCATGTGGTATCATTTCCTCTGGAAAGCTACTAAATGCCATTGCTCTCTGAGTGGCTTGAATACTTTATGCTCCTGATCAGCCAGATAAACTTTGTCTTGCCTGATTTTGCTGCAGTTTCAGTATTTCATGGCTTTTGCTTCAGTCGTTAGAATCTTTGAATAAGCAAGGTTTAAAGGGATCACTGGAAGTGCGTGCCTCTCTGAACTGGCCAGCTTCACAGCCAGGTCAGGTTGCTGAGGCCTTATCCTACCCATTGCTGAGCATCTCTGAGGGTGGAGATTCCACAGCCGCTGAACAACATGCTTCAGTATTTATCCACTCTAATTTGAGGCTTCCTTCTTTGATTTAAGCTGGGCAGAAGCTTTACCGAGGCACTTGTCCAAACAGTGTCCAGACTAGCCAAAAGGTGCTATTGTATTTTTCAGTCTGAGTCATATGTTCCCAGAAAAAGGAAGGAGAGCATGCTTGTTTCCTCATATACATACAGGTAGAGCAAGCGTTCGGCTTGAACAGCTAGCTAGTGCTTCTGCCTTCTGTGATGTAGCCTCTTGCACTTGCTGGTGGGCCATCCAAGCAATCCTAGACACTGGATTGCTCATTGCTGGCTGAGCAACCTTTTGTGAGGTTGGCTTTGAACTAGAACCAACCTACCTAACTGTAATGGCATCCAAACTGGAAGGGTAGGAGGTGACTTTTTTCTTTCCCTTTTGAGAGGTTCAGTCTAAATTAAGCCCTCTCACTTAGCACAGTGCAAGTGAGGAGCAATAGCTCTGAAGTCTCACGGAGTCAAAGTAAAGTTGTGAGTTGGGCCTTTATAATCCACCTCCCCCATCTCACCATGTTTTTCACTTGGGATTAGAAGCACAGTCCTGGCACGCCACTTACACTGGGGTGCTGAGCACTCTGCAAGTTTCTCACTGCATGTGCCTTCCCTGTTTTCCCTTCAATCTACAGCTCTGGCACTGCAGCTGTAAGAGGGCTGGAAATCACTGGCCCTCTGACTTACAGCCTTCCTTGCCCAGGGCTGAACCTTGGAAATAAGGGGGTACAGGGCTTTGGCTATCGCAAAGATTGCTGTGGTGGAAGAACCAGAGATTTGGGGTTGCTCAGTAGCAGTGAAAGTTTGCTGGCAACAGACTTGCCTTGTGTTTGTATAACTTTAAACTATGTTGTAAACATCACTGCAAATTCCTTGGGGTTCTGAGTAATTCTCAACATCCCCAGAGCCACTGAGCAAGATCTGTCTGGCAAACGAGTATTTCCATAAAAGCCATTGGAGCTGGGAGGCCTCAAGGTTCTAACTTCAGAGGAGTATTAAGCTGTGACATGCACCATTTGCTTATCATTTATTTTTATTTTTAATTGAGACAGATGATGCAAGATATTTTGTGTGCATTTTTTTCCCCTTGATTTCAGAGTTACTTGTAGAAGTTGCTCAATCTCATTTGGTATTCAGCATGCCTTTAACTGGAGGTAAACATATTCAACAGTGTTGTCAAATTGTATGTGTGCGTCATTGAAAAAATCACCAAACCATCCTTTGAAGAGGCCTATTTTAAGTTACTGTGATAGACTGTCAGAAACTGGATTACGGTACAATTCAAGAAGTGGTGTTTTTTGTTTGTTTCATGCTATGGAGTTTGCATGGGTAGCAAAGCCATGTGGAGGGGAGGAAAAGTTGTCCTTTTCCTTGTGTTGAGTTGTCAGAGATGTCCCTTTGTTCTTCACAGGACTAACTGATTGTCCAAATGGTCTTCTTGTGTGGCTACAGTCACATCTAGTGGGAGGCAGAGTTCTTATCTCTTTGGATGTGGAGGAGATTGGAAAGGAGCATTTCTTAAGATGGAGGGGTTTTTTTGGATTCAGTTTGTCTGTTCTGTAAAAGCGTATTTTAAGTCAGTAGAAGATTTTATTTCAGCCTCTTGACATTTTTTTAAGATTCAAATACACTTGAAATATCATCACTTCTTCCACAGCTGGAGACTCTGATTTACCTCATACAAATAAAGCTTTGCATTCACATGTAACTTTAACTGTAGATTACTGGATTGGAGATGGCTCACACAGCTTAAACCACAAAGCCATCTGAAGGAAGTGACTGATTTTTGCTAAGGCCCTTCGTACCTAGCTGACATGATTAAACAAATTAGCAGAATGGTAGATTTTCACCATCTCTACTCTATTGGTAGCTCTAATCAGAGCTGGTTATGGTCAGTTTCATTTCCTTTGGTTTTGGGAAAAGTGAAACTGTCAGATTCTGTCCAGAGAGAAACAAAAAAAGTATAGTATAGAAAAGCAAAGCTTCATTTTGGTGATCTGAGATCATTAACAGCATAGGCTTAGGACTGTAATTTTCTAAGGATTATCTATAGCAGAAGTTGACTTCAGAGTGAGCTTGAATGTAAGACAAATGACTACAATCAGCAAGGTGTTTGCTTACAATTACGCTCTCAAGTTCGAGGTTGACATGGCTCCAGAGTAGCAGTTAGTGTGAGTGGCATCGTCGTTGGTGAGTCAAGCAACCTTCTCTATCAAAGCTGTTCACAGCTTCACAGCATCACCAGAAATCTTGCCCAACATGAAGGTTCAGGAGTTGGCAGCTGATTATTAGCACTAAGCACCCCATGTTTTCTGTCAATGACTAAATCTACCTAGAACTCCCAGTTCGGGCAGGCACTTGGGAACACGCTTCACTATAAACATATTGTTTAAGTCCACCAACTTCTACTGGCTTTAACAGATCTTTAGAGTTCAGGCTTTATTTGGGAAACCTATTTAACTGAGCACCCACAGAATAAGACTGGCAGGTGGCCAAGCGCAGCCAGTCTTAAAATCAAATGGTTCTGTGAGGAAACAAAAGGTTTGCAACTGAAACAAATTTGTTTGGACTGTGATGAAAGCACAGCCTGGACTACTGAACAGGCTCATGCACATAACGTGCTCTTTAGGCTCCTGTGCTGGTTTAAGGTGACTTCTGTTGATAGTCACGTCTTAAGGTGTTTACATTAAACTCCTGTTGTATATTACAGGTTAGCTACTAGTATTATCATCTTAACTCATTTCACAAATAAGGTAGATAGGTATGCTTTTCAGATGAATAAGGAAACCCTGTTGATGGATTTTTTAGATATCATTGCACAGTTGCTGGGTTTGAAACTATTTCATGCAAAAGTGTAAGGGTGTTAACCCGTGCTAGAAGATAGGTAAGCCTTGTGCAATTTTGTGTGCTTGGTTCTACTGAACGGCTTTGTGTAGAGCTTGTTTCCCAGTAATGGCACGCAGGATATAAGCCCACGTTCTCTGATTCCAGAGGTTTAAACTGGCTTTACGTGTTGTGCAGAGAACAGACTGATCAGCCAGCACTGCAACTGGCTTTCACTGGTAGCTGGGGAGAATGGCTTCAGCTGTGTACAAGTGGCTGCAGTAAACATCACCTGCCTTCCAATACATGGACTCATTTAGCTAGATCTTACCCTGATAAACTGCTCATCCTTTCTTCTGGAAAATGCTTGTGGCACTCGTGCCTTTTGGACTTCATGCAATCAACTCTCCCTTACACAAACATGCTGGTCCTGGAGCTGGGCATTAATAAAGGGACAGGGTTCATCTTACTGTGGAGGGAGAAAAAAGCTCTCCTTTCCCTCTCCATCTGAATGACAGTGGCTTTTCTTTGAGTGACTGGCAGACACTTGGGATTGTTTTCTGTTTGGTTTTTAAACAACCTCAAAAACCTGAGGCAGTTCTAGGGTCTTCTAGGTGCACAACTGCCAATACAAAGAAAAGAAGGTGTACTGGTGGATAGATACAGTATGACAGCATCGCTCTTTAAAATACACATAAAGGTAAAACAGAATGACTCATTCAGTTCACCTTTGCAATAAAAGACCTATGAAGATGCTTTCCCTGGCATAATAATAATGTTGTGAAGACTGAGGTTTCGATGTACTCATCTGTCTAAACTTCTGATTGGGATAAAGAGAAGAGTGTATTTATTGTGAGAACTGGGTTTGTGGATCTTTGATAATGCAAGTAAAGTTCCTTCTCAGAAGGCAGAAAGGCGTGTAGTGACAGGACGAGGGGAAATGGCTTTAAGCTGGAAGAGGGAAGACTTAGACTAGATATCAGAAAGAAATTGCTTACTGTGAGGGTGGTGAGACACTGGAACAGGTTGCCCAGTGAGGCTGTGGATGCCCCCTCCCTGGAAGAAATCAAGTCCAGGCTGGATGGGACTGTAAGAAACCTGGTCTAGAGGAAGGTATCCCTGCCTATAGCAGGGGGGCTGGAACTAGATGATCTTAAAGGTCCCTTCCAACCCAAACCATTCTACGATTGTGTTTGCAATATACAGCAAATCTCTGTTCTCACTGTTTTGTGATAACCCTTAGGGATGCAGGTGATGATGGTTAGGGTGAGAGAGATTAGGAATACATCCTAAGCAATTGCAATAGTTAAGAAACATCTCTGTGACTTTGGTAACTGATCATTTGGTATCCTGAAAGTGAGTGGTAGTTCTGATGATACTGAATTTCCCAAGCACTGTGCAATGCTCACAGTTGTATGTGTAGCTGTCAATACTTGCTCTGAGAGAACAACCACTGAAATATCTGTGTTATAGCATGATGTCAGGAGATGCAGCCAATATCAGACCTCCACAGTAAAAATCAAAAGCATAAACATACAATCTTTCAGTTACACCTTTGGCTTTCCTTCTGCCCTTAATATCTTGAGTGCCATTGGGTACCATTATACACTGAAGTTCTGGAGTACGTTGAATTCTCTGTTACACTCTTACGGATGATCAAAAAAACCCTAGAGGCAGGGTATTAGTCTGTTGACTGCTGTCTTCTTGGGCTTGTTTAAATACATTCCTACTGTTTTCCATCATCACTCAGTTCTGTTAAAGGAAAATATAAAAATGCTTGCAGATATTACATATTTTAACTTGCATTAAGTATAACCACCTGGATTTTAGTAAAGTAATAGTTTAGCTCTATCTGCAGATAAAATCTTTATGTTAAGAACTGAATATTATCAGAAGAGTAGCCATGTTATCTTCTGTCATAAACATGTGCTCTTACAGAAGAACTAGAATATCTATGCAACCAGTGTGAGAGCCATAGGAGTGGCTCATGAGCTGTCCAGAATGGGGACCAGTCACTCAACCAGATGTCCAGAAAGTACGTTCTCTTCTTGCTCCAGCCAGGATCTGATTCAGTGGCTTCACAAAATTGCCCTGCTCTGCATCTCATCTTCCCCACCTGCAAAAGAAACAGTGATAATTCTTCACTTCCCTCATACTAAGCTAGCTTAGTAAATGTCAAGAAATCATTCTGAGCTCTTTGCTGAGAAGACAGCGGAGCATTTCAGAGTTGTTTAATTAGGTACAGTGCTTCCAATTAGGTATTGTGCTTCCAATCAAGATGTTATCAGCTGAGCCACTGTTATGTTACAGAAATCCATTGGAACTTAAATATTAAGAAAAGATTGAACGTGTAACAGAGTTTTACTGGGTAAGAGTTTGTCTAGTGGCCACTAGGTCATGTTGTGGAAAAAAGAGAGTTTGAAAAATGAGGAATCCGGTGGGACCTCTTCTGTGATACATTCTCAGCTTCTGGTAAGCAGCAGTTTAGAGATTACTTGAGCAAGTATTTGCACGTGGACAATCACAGTTAATCAGCAGTGATGAGGATATTTTCCACAAACTTGTCTGAGCATGTTGTTAAGCTACTGATAGCACTGAGTTCTGACTTAATATGCGTTACGTGAAAAGAGCACTTCCTTCTGTTTCCAAGATGCCACGCTCTAGCTTTGTTTGGTGCTCCCTATTATTTCTTGTGCTTGTGAGAAATAGTGATTCATTGCTTCCTTACATTCTCTGGCTTTCTGGATTTTAGAGACCTTGAGCATATCTTCATAGCTCCTCTCTGTTACTGTTCCCTTCAATGCAGGGAGTCCCATTTTGTAAGAGCGCAAGTTCCAAACTTAGCCCTGTGACTTGGCACCAATCACTCATTTGATGTTTTTAATCAAAGCTGTGCCTTGACTGTGCTTTCAGATTCCGGCAACTCGTTGCTGAATACGAACCAGAAGTGCAGGAAGTATCTCGACTCTTCCGCTCTGTTCTGCAGGAAGCTGTTGAGAAGATCAAAGAGGAGGAAGACGCCAAGAAGCTCGCCAAGCAATGGAACACAAAGAACAAAACCAGCCTCTCCTTAACAACGTTTAAGTCCCGGTCCAAGATTTCCCCATTCATCAGTGACATCAAGACCATCTCTGAGGATGTAGAGCGGGGCACCCAGCCCACCAGGAGGGTTTGGAGCATGCCAGAATTCCGGAATGCCAAGGATTACTGACTCTGTACTGAACAAGGTTTTTAAACAGTGATCTCTCCAAATCCCAGTTAACCCTTTTTTTTAGCTCTACCATTTCTTCTTCGTTCCAGCTTTCTCTTACCGTCTGCCTCTCTCAGAAGCTGTGTCCATAGTAACTGCTGCTGATGCCCATGATATGTGACAATTTATTACCACACATGCTAGCTTTTCCTTTAATTTAGAAGTAATCAGCAACTTTAAGGGCAAGGCTCACTTACTATCCTATTTTTTATTACCTTTTTTTTTTTTTCTTTCCTGGTGGAAAATGAATTAATTTTGTGATCTCTCTCTTCTTCTCCCTTTTCCCTCAGCCTGGATGAAGTTACCTTCTAAAGCTATTGGCCCAAGCTAGTGAGAGCTGCTGCCTGAATGCAAGAAGTTCCATTTGCATGAGAAAGGCTTTCAGGATCAGGCCTGTGAGTTAGGGCTAGTCAGAACTGAACTTCTTTTTTCAACTAACAACCTTCCTCAGTGCTGCAGGAGATGCAGGTAAACCCAGCGCTGCTCTTGAGTAGCAATCCAGCTCAAGCAAAGCAGACTCAAACTTTCTGAGGTGGAAGACTAACATAATTCCACAGCATGCTCAGGTTTCTTGGGTATTTTCTCTCTTATGCAGGCAGAACCCCTGAACCTTGTGCTTGCAGAGCAGATAGAAATGTAACACTGTTGTGGGTGGATACATCAGTTCTGTGTCAAAAGCTCTTCTTGGTCCTGTGTTCTGTGTTACTGAGGTAAGTGCTACATCCTGTATCCCAGTAATAATTCACTAAATGACTAATTCACTACATGACTAAGTCTGAAAGAGTACTGAAGAATAGTATCAGCGAAGGGTGAAGGGAATCAGCATTCATCTACAGCACTCTGTACAGCTCAGAATTGAGTCTGTTTCAATAAGCTGCTGTTGTGAATGGCTGAAGGGCTCTGGTAGATGAAGGTCCATTCCCTCACTCTTCTCTCACGAGTGCTCAGAGGAGAGCTTTCCAGTATTGCAGGATGCTGGCCAGCGAGTCAACACTGTTACAGAAGAATCTTTAATGAAAACTGAATTGCCTCTAGGCCAGCATGGTTCTGCTGAGACCTTGAGTAAACAAGAAAACACCAGGGAGGAAAAGCATCCACAGGGAAACCTCTCATCAGGAAAAGAAAGAGAACATCGTGCTGTAAAAATCATCGTTCCTGTAGAGAGAAGCCAAGGACTAGGAAAAATTCTGGGATCTCCCCCTATGACTGGCTTTTGGGAATCATCTCCACTGTGATGCAGCCTCCTGGAGAACGCTGCATAGCTTTGTTGTTCTTTTGCCTGTTTCCAACTCTTTTCCCCAGGGATTTTTGCAACAGCATGTGAGTACTACAGCCAAAACAAAATCCTTTGAAGCTATGCCAACCCTGGGAACAATTCCAGCACATGAAATTTATCCTAGAGTAGAAATGTGCAGTTTCTTCCAGAGTTGGGGGATCACAGCATAAAAACAAAGATCAAGATCAAATCCTTAACAGTTCTCTAAGACTGTGGAATTGTGGCTCTTTCTCACTTTCCTCTGGGCTAGCTAAGACTAAACACAAGGCTGTAGCATCTAGCCCCTTCGTAAACACTGCTGCAGAAAATCACTTTTAATTAAAAAAAAATATCTCAGGGCTTCCAAATACACCACTCAGTTTAGGACTGGCTACTTCAGCTCCAGGTCAACAGGGGAGAGGTTCAAGCCTTCTGACAATCAACTTGGTGTTTTTTGGCTCTGTGTCCTTGTGAAGTGGTGTGACTGTGTGTATGCAGTACAATAAAAGCTTGACATACTTAGCATAGGCTTAAGTATCTAGAAGTTTTGTGATCCTAGCAAGATGCTACCATCTAAAAAAAACCACTGTTTTGAAAAAAGTTAACCATTTCTTAAATATATTTGCAAGCCACTATACTTGCTGGACTGACGGCTGAAATGGTCATGAATTTCCTGCTACAATGCTGTAATCAATTTTTTGTACTCAAGTTTTATTTTAATGCCCTTGGTACTGACTGTTTTGATGCAATATTTGATAGTCTGCAGGGAGAGAAGGGACAGTCTGATACTGACATAAAAACTCTTTGCTACAGTACAGTGTCAGCAATGTGCTCACTCTAGCCAAAGGAGAATCTGGAGCAACTAACTTCCCTGCACCAATATACAAAGCCAATGAAATCACCTGAAGAGTGTTTGCAATATCATCACAGCATGCTGTGATCATACTGTATCCTTCATTAATAACCTCCAGCTAGCAGATACCGTTCTTGTTTTGCAGTCAGCAGAGGGAGACAAATCTGACCTTTGGTCAAAGCCATATACAGATGAGGGCCAGGCTGTGATGGCACCTGTGACAGCTGTCAAGCTTCACTTTACCTGCCATCTCTAATTCCACAATAAAATGTAATCCAAACTTTCAAATAGTACCACTTTCTCCCTGTACCTCTTCTGCAAGTTACACTGGGCTCACAGAACCATCTGATGAAGAAGAGGATATTCAGGTACCAATCTGGCCATCCAGTACTCTGGAAGGTGTAAAACAAGCACTATGCTTGCCTGTAGCCAGCTGACTGCAATTTTTTGCACAGTGTATGCACCAGCAGGTAGTGAAGCAGAGCTGGGGAGGTGCTTAGGATATTCAGTTGTTGCACTATGCTTGTAACACTTGTTTTTCTTAGGAACTGTAGACTGAACTAAATCATTCTTTGGTCACTGTGTGCAGCAACAAGTAACTACTCATTTTTGCTTTATTCTAATTCCATGTTTTGAGTGACTGAATTAGAATTTCAGATTAAATCAGGAGTGTGCAACTCCTGGTTGTCCCCTACCTACTGAGCTATGGTTCACATACCTGAGCAGGGGCAAACTAGATTGCTTTTGGATTAAGCTAACCTAAATGATCTGTTGCAGCTGACTCTCAGGTTCGCATACCTTGAAACAGGACTAAGAAAACCTCCTAACACTTGTACAGTGTGAACATTAACCCCTTACTGACAAGTGTACCGCTCTACAGCTCTGCTTCTCCTGGAGCGCATTGCCTACTAGTGTAGAAAAGCATTCCTACACAACTTAGATGAGACTGTACTGTCTTAGCCACTCTAGGGAGAGTCCAGTGATTTAATTCCTAAAGAAAAACGAGAAGTGAAATAGCAGCACAATGCCAGTAACAAACAACTAAGTAAACTGAACAAGAATAATTCCAAATCCTCATTCTTTCAAAACTGAACAAAGACTTTGGTGTCAGCCTAGAGCATCACTGTTGCCCAATCAGTGGTAGTGTTACGCTGTCCAAAGGACATTGTTACACCCAGGAAAAAGCAATCAGAGACTTTTATCACACATGCCAACACATAATGGCAACACCACTACAGCAGCTCAGGTGCACAGCTCGGCTTCAAGAGGCTGAAACACTTTTCAGAGCCCCTACTCATCTAAGAGAGAAAATGCAGCTCTGCTCCTACAGCCTAGACTGGCTCACAGGCTGTGGTGGCCAGCAAAAATGTGCAGGAGGAAACTCTTCAGCTCTATCAGCATATAGCTCAGACAGCTGTCACACCTTGCAGAACTGGAGTATGCTTCACAGGAAATACCTGTCTACTGAGATTGCACTGTTTATGTATTTCATCATGGAACCTTAGAAAATTAAAGCAAAGCTATGAACTATAAAACAAATTTTTGTAATTGTTGTCATTAATTAAAGAAGCAATCTGTCCACATCTAGCCAAACACAAGCCATTCTAGTTCTCCACTGCACACTGTGCACGCATCAAAGGAGGAAGGCAAGAATGATAGACACCAAGGCTAAACAAAAAAACATCCTCTCTCTACAAGGTGCAAAAGCAGCCACTTGCTTTCCGCCTTGCTACCTCTTCAAACAGATCCCAAGATGTAAGGTGATAAATAGCTAGGATTAAACAACTGCAGAAGTCTGAAGTTCTCTGAAGCTAAGTGCTTCACACATACAACCTCGACTTTAAATCTTCATCAGTGTGCTTCCAAGCACGTCTTACATTGATCAGTATTACCACAAAATGAGGAAAACAACGTAATAAATGTTCTGTCACCAGATACTTGTGAGTCAAGTCACTCCTATCAATTCTAGATACTGGAACCCTTTAATATTAGTATGCAGCCCCAGATGGCTCAGGGCTCCCTGCACTAAGCATTCACATGGAAAGCACGCAAGAGTTAAACAAGAGGAAGCTTTTTTTTTTTTCCCAACACAAAGTCTCATTGAAGTGTGGACTGCATTGCTCAGTAAATTGCAGAGATCAGACAGAAGAGTGTTTCCAAAAGGGAGCTCCAGGAATAAACTGAAGTAAGTGGTCGAGATACAGACTACAGCAGAAGGCTTAAGCCATTCCTTCCCAGAAGCTGTGCAGAGAAACACACTAGGGGACAAACATGTCTCTGTCTTGTTGCTTACACTTTTTCCCCAGAACACTTCTACAGGCCATTCCAGTATTCCTGTGTTAACTTCACCGCTCAGACGGGAGGACAAGCTACGTGGTGCATGCTAATTTTGCTAAAAAATCATTCTGGGAAGCACAGGACTGTGCGAGTCAGCACCTTTTTTTGTTGTGCCCTGCAACAGAGAAAGAACTCTAAGCTTCAGTGAGTTCCACCCACCTGTGCCAGGCACAGACACAACAGTCTGGGAGCCTGCCTCTAGCTGGTACTGCTGTCCTCTCTGCATAAGGGGCCTCTTGTTCCCTCTGTATGATCAGGCAAGCTGTGTTTCAAGCCAGCTCACATCAGGAAGACACAGTACTGACCCCAAGAGGTGGACTGCAGGGCCAAGTCTCCCATGATTGGCATGTGGTCTTCTGTGCAGTTGCTGTGTAAAGATACTCTCAATCTTTGTAGGAAGAGATCTCAATAAACATGACAGATAGGCAAAGAGAAAACCTACAAGAAGAACAGTGAAACATGTGGTGGTTCATGAACATCTGTGTACAGCATACTTCATAAAATTCCTGGAGTCCTGACTGGATAAGCAGATTACAGCTTGTCAGCTGTTATGCTTACAATTACACGTTGCCTCCACCAAGTAAATCTAACCTTCCCCATTGGATGATACAGCAGGAGAAAGAGAAATGCATTTTCTAAATGCCAGTATCCACTCAGAATGTAAATATTGTTATTACTATTTAGTAATTATAATGCTATATTCTCAGAGGCTTCTGATGAGTCAGAGTCCATGTACAGTACCTCTTCCAGTCTTATCATCAGCAGTATCAGATTGCCTAAAGCAGCAGAACACATGTAGTTTAGTCTGAAGACAGGTTAAATAACAGATGTAGAACAAAACAGTGCCAGAGAAATACCCCTCTTTCCTTTTTGGTGTTATTCTGACACTGGAAGCCTAAAATTATTTAGCAGGTGAAGAATACAGTATTGTATCTACAGAACTCAGCAGTTCCTGTAAGGATGGTGCAAGAGCACCCAACCCTTCCAGGATGGTGCAAGAGCACCCAACCCTTCCAGGTTCCTCCTGGCTCTCAGCAACTCACTCCCATGGTATACAGCTACTCAGAAGTTCCAACCTTTCTCCTGCCTTCTGTATAGGAGAAGAAGCAGGACAGACTGTGGTATGTTCAAAGCACAGCCAAGAGGAGGAAACGGAGAAAGACTGGATTACATTCATAGGACAGCAGTAACAAACATGCACCATAAGCAATACATCTCTCCAGGCTAATTAGAGGGTTCAGAATTATTGGGAAGCCAAAGTCCGAAAGGAGAAAAACAAAGAAAACCCTGTATGAGGCAGTGCAGATGGACAGCAGTGCCACCTGCTGGCACATTCTAAGCAGTGATTAACAGGAAAAGTGCAGGAACTTTCTAACCCTGCCTTTCCCAACAAATACTGCTTCCTCACACATATGCTGCCTTTCTTTCATATCACCGTCATGCAGAGAACAGCACATGAACAAAACACAAATACAACTACGTGAACACCTGAATGGAAAACAGCACCAGCAGTTGGCATGCTGGTACCAGTTGTCTTCTTAATGCTCTGTACCTCTGCCACCGACATACATTTATCAGCATGGATATTAGCAGTTCGTCACATTGCTTACGAAGTCTCAAAGCATGCTTCCTCAGAGCCACCAGCACTGCATCCTGCTCTCCTTGCAGAAAACACTAGATGTTTCCTATTCCTTGTGAATCACACCTTAAGGCCAAAAATGAGCAGGCAGAAAAAGATTACTGCTCTCCAGAGCCAAATAAATCATGGTCTCTGTACTGGACAATAATTTTGGTGAGTTGTTTCGTCCAGAGATGGAGATGGAAGGCTGGGCTGGGTGTCTGCTGATAATTCTAAACAGCAGCTCTTAGAAGGACTCACCCCCTACAGCTTCAGATGTAAGCAAATAACTGGCCTTGGGGATGTCCTGGTGTGCCCACAACCTCAAAGCCCTCAGAAGAACCAAAAAACCTGCCACAAAAACCCAGCCATTTCACAGAGTGCCCAAAAGAGAGCTGGACTCAAGAGCTGAGCAACAGTTTTGGAAACCTGTTTCTAAACAATCACAGCAAAGCCCTGCAGGACTGACATGTCCAGCAAGCTGTTTCAGAGCTCCACCCAGCGGTCACCAGGTGGCTCAGGCAGCCCTCGACTGACCCTAGGTCAAGTTACTTCAGCCTCTCTGACTTTTGGCTTTTGCCTGCGTGTACAGCTGTCCTAGCTGCAGAGGGAGATGTTCCGAGATGTCTGGGAAGCCCGTATAATCCTGCAGCACAAAACATCCAAGTACATCAAAATGGCACAAGTTGCTTAAGTTGAACCATACTCAGCACTGAAGAGATCAAAACTGCATGCCCTCACTGCACTGCAGGTTGATATACCCTGGATTAACACAGCAAGTGCTTCCATGCCTAACTGCTATTTCTGACTGATTTGTCACTTTAATCTCAGTACTTTTTTGCACAAAGGAGTCAAGTTCGGGCAAATCATAACAGCAAGTGACAAAGGACTACACTGCTTATGAGAACTGGCTGAATCACTTAATTACTTGTATCAAGTAATTATTCTTTCACGTTTGGATCCCTCGAGAAACTTAAGAAACTGCTTCATCCTCTCCCAAAACCTTTTGAGTCTACTACCAACTGTGCTTATTGGGGAGGGATCTTTAGAAATGTCACCTTTCCTGTTTGCTCACATTTGCTCACTAGATGTAGGAAGCTCCAAATGAGCTTCCATTCACGGAACAGACAAAAGCCACACAGCATTCTACACCTGCGCACACAAGTGGTAGTAGTAGTGGTGAGGTGGAAAGAGCTTGAAGAGCAAGGGGAAGAAGACTCAAGGGACCAAATCTTACAAATTCTGCTGCTAGTGGCACATTTGGTGAGAATACTTGAAAAGCAAGATACTGGCAAGGAGGAGGGGCACGGCAGCAGCAGTTCAGAGAATGTATCTTCTAACAGTCTACCCCAACAGTGACTTCTATTTCAGAATTTCAGACAGAGGATGTGATAGGGACCACTCTCACACACACAAAATGTATGCTTCACATCTGAAAGACTCCTATTATTTAACCTTTCAGCTAGAATCTCCACTTGTCCAGCCAGGTAAGCCCCAGAATCCCCTCGTCACTTTATCTCTGCCTGCACTCTATGATTTCTGACACCAGCAGTCTCCCTCCATCCCTATCTCATGCATTCTCATTATTCCACACTTCATCTTTCTCTACAATAAGCACTTTTTGGAGACCTGGTAGCAAGGCTGTCTATCAGGCTGACATTCCATGCTGCTACAGAGTTTCCACGCAAATTTCTAGATCAGCATCTGTTACCTTACTATGATAACCTTCACATGCAGTTCTGTCTCTGGTTAAGCTGGCATAACAGAAATTTGAAGCAGCATTAAGAAGTTATGCTTTAGTTAAAAGATGAACAACAATAAAATTCTTCATGGGGCTGCACGGCACTACAATGACTCTGCCTGCAGAGGTCTAATGCTTACTGGTGTGACTGGAATCTGTTGGTCAGCTCCCAAGAGCAGCCTCAAAAACACTCAGTTCCACCAAGCTGCATGCAGAGCAGATGCACATGATTGTAATGACACTTAAATAAGTATTTAATAAATAATACAATGTATGGAATGACAAGGATACCTTATCGGTGTGTTTGGAATTAACCTCCCCAAGAGAAGTCAAAAGATAAAAGCTGCTTATCTGGGCATGACACTTGGCATCTCTAGATAGAAATATAGATAGTAGTAGTATGAATCATAAAGAATAATCCCCATGAAGTAAAGGAGTTGGATTCTTTTGTTTTTCCCTACTTATGTTTCAGAACACTGCTTTGAAAAATACTTCCACAACAATGTTAAAAGTCAAGGAAACTCCATTTGTTACTCCTGTGTTTTCATGTTTTATGTTCAGAAGAATAAAATAACCCAGCTTCTCTGAATCAAGGACTCAATCTCTAAAGAGTTAAATCTCTGCAACAACTGCAAAATGTTCCACAACAACAACAAAGCTGCAGAAAAAAAAACAGGATTCCAGCACCTCCAGAGGATTTCACATCAAATTTAAAAACTTCACCTTGAACAATAATACAAAGTCTTCAGATTTCCTTAAACACCATGCTAGGCACAGACTCAAAGAGCTTTCCACTTGTTTGCTCTGCAATGAACTCCTCATGCTCTGACCACCTGATATCCTTGTCAAAGGCAACCACACTGAGGCCTTTTTTAGGCACACCTCTCAGTGGCTCCTGAGGAGCATCTGGCACATGAGTGATTCACAAGGAATTCCAACGTCAGAGTTCTTCTGTACCCAGGGGCCTGCTGCCAGGGCTCTAGGAAGGAGTGAGCAGCAGGCTTTGAGCAGTCTGCTGAGGCCAAAACACACGCACGCACACACACACGCACCTGGACATCTCTGTCACTGTCACTGCCTGCCTCAGAACCATTCCAATGGCTCTTTCTCTCAGATGCATGCTATGTGAAGATTTGACAAACAGCTCACAGGGTCAGAAAGGCAGGCCAGATCTTCAGGCTTCTTAGCTCTAGGAACTGCAACTTGAGATATGGGAGTAAATTAGTGAGCGTGTGCTGCCTGTGAGCAGCTGATCCAGATAAAAAGAACCAAAGACTTTCCCTCTTCAGTTTTGGAATAAAAATTATCCAGCTCCAGAATATTTAGTGTTGATACTTCTAGTGACAAAGAGTAATAAAACCATCCAGAGAAATACCACACCTCACACTCTGAAATAAAATAATATATTAATGAATGAGCTGTCAAAAAAGCGTTTATGTAAAAGGATGTTCTATTTACAAAGGTCAACCTGCTCTTTAGGACGAGTAAAACCACTACTGGAAAAAATATACACATAGAAATGCCTCATCTTTCAACAGACAGTTACAAATAATCCGCTTTGTTTAAGCTACTGGAAACTTTAAGACATTTGAAATTAAAAGCGTGTTCTGCATGCAGTTAGGATAGAATTGGACCTCAGTGTGTCAATACATGTCATTGCCAATGACACACTCTTAGGATCTTCTAAAACACCACAGCCTGGCTGTTACCTTAGCATCTCAAAAGGACATAGATCTTCATTAACAAGTTATCGTTTGATCTTCATTTTGCCATTAAAAAAAGGATATCCTGATTGTCTCAGCAGGAGTCTGGTCTTGTCAAACTCGGCATCCTTTTCCCTGAGTTTTCTTTAGCTTTTTTGCTAGGCATGATCATCACCAGCTTGGCGTATTTACAAGTCCTTGGTCACACTCTTCCCATTATAAGGCAGAGTTCAGAAATTCAAGCAGCTCTGCACGGTTCCGGTCTCTCTGTGGAGCAGAAAAGCAGAGGCAATAGTTCAACAGACCTGTGCTTGGTGGACCAAGGCTATACAACTGTTTTCTGTGGGGCCTTGGCACACGGGCACGCTGCACAACAAACGTTATGGTATTTGGTGACAAACACCCTGGCTATGCAACAGTGAGGCTGCTGGGAGGACCCCAGGCAACTGAGCATTACTGGCTGCCAGACAGCTGAGAGTGCCTGGGAGAAGTGCAAGCAGTGAGTACCCAGAAGAGATGCCAGAGGAGACAAGCTGTCTCTGCTGTTATTTCATGGTGTATTTTCTAAGTGGCTCCCTGTGGAGGCTGCACTGGGTTGTCAGCATGTAGCTCACACAGCCTAGTGTCAGGGGGGAATTCACAAGCAGAACAGATGCAGTCTTCTGGCGTCTGAAGCAACACCAGCCGTACACACAGGAAGTCTTTTGCTCTGGGAAGTATTGTTTTTTCTATGCATAAGCAGCAGCTTGTAGCAATACAGAAAGGGAAACGTGGATTTAGGTACACTCTTTACATAAGAGACAGCCCAAATAATCAAAACAGTTGCTTTTCAATTTTTTTTTTTTCATCTTTAAAAACACAATTTATGAAGCAATCACTGAATATTAAAATATTGTGAGTAAGAGATATTGTTCAGTTCAGTGTGTTCATCACTGAAACCGCCAATCAAAAAAGCAAACATCAAATATTTGCCATCACATGTTGCAGCAAGCAGGTTACTGGGATAAGGACAGCAAGGAATCTTATTGCCACATGAAGAAGATAATGTATTTTTGATGAAATTGAATTTGGAATGCTTAGGTTTATTTTGGTAGCTATAGAACAAACTGCCATGGCTAAGTGAGAATCCACCAATCTGGATACTTCAGCAAAATGCCACTTTTTAACAAACATAGAAGTCCTCTTGCAGACTTCTATGAAGTGTGGACACTACTGAAAAGAGAGAACATACTTGAGTGCTGAGTGTCAGCATCCATAGCAAGCGAACAACAAAATGCTCTCTATCTATTCTTGATATCCAGTTCTTTTGGTATCTCAGTGAAAAACATTTGACTACTTTGGCAGAATGCATCAACGTGATCCTATTATCTTTTTTCCTTCTTCTCAGTATAATGGCTAGTCTCATGCTTGTCAGAAAGCAGAGTAAGGCATCAATTACCACAAGTGACTGGAAAAAGCTGAGGACAATTAAAAAGAATGCAAGCTCAACAAACAGGAAAAGTCACAAACCAGCTCAACCTTACGGGCCGAAATTCTGAGAACTGCATCAGCATCCTTCGGTTTATCTATTCATGCCTGAATATTCCAAGACTGCTCATTTAACAAAGCCTGCCCAGAGAATGAATTTAAATTTCTCAGATGGCATTCATAGCCACATTAAAATCTTCATTCAATTTATAACTTGTAAGATCTACTCTTCTACTAAGTACCGCTATGAAGAAAATTAAAGATGGTATTTTCCATTAAGGACGCACAGACTTTTAATCTTACCTCTTTATCCTGCTTAGTCTTCTTTATTTTCATCTTAATTTTCTTTCCAGTTATCATGCTGTAGTTTTCATTCTTCTTTTTGTTTTTGAAGAACTAAAATAAGACCACACATGAGGAAAAAACCTCCTGTAATTTTGCTTCACATTACAAATACTTATGAATCTTGAAGAAAATTATAATCTCTCATACTTCCTAGATGTCTAAAAAATAAAGGTAAGTTTCTGCTTGGTTAGGAAAAATGGTGCAGTTATAAACATTTTTAGGACATTACATTGTTTAAATGAGAAATACAGTGGGCATTTCAACTCATACAAGCATACCTTTGAAAGCTGGACAGGTCCTGTTTTTTCTTTCTTTTTCTTCTTTTCTTTCTTTTTCTTCATTTTGTTCTCTTTTTTTCTCTTCTGCAGGTATAAGACACATTCTGTAGCACTTACAGATTCACAAAGGGGAAAAAAAACAAAATCCACAAGCAGCCTATTCATGCCCTGGCTAGCCAACAGAGCCACTGCTGCTTATCTTTACCACTGCTGGTCCTATATGAAATACACAGAAAGTAATTCAGCAAAGTTAGCAACCTTTGGATCTCTGGAAATGGAAATGGTATGATCCCTGATTCTCTCTTTTAATGTACACCTAACGCATACAATCACTGAACAGCAGTTAGGACCTGAAGAAAGGACAATTACAACACTGAGAACCTATGACCAACTATAAATGGTTTCTTCTGACAGACATTCTATAAAGTTATGAAGGTTCCTATTTATTTTCCTCAGTGACTATGCTAAATTCTAGTTGGATGAGCAATTACTGGCAAAAGGAACCGTAAGTTCCTTTCCTTCTCATTTAATATACAGTCTGGTGTGTGTCAACTTAAGAGTTCACTTACTTTAACCCTAACAGCACACTTCGGATTTACATAGCCACAGACAAAAGCATTAAACATCCCATGATATTTAGGGCTACTGAAGTACAAAGAGCTATTTTCTGTTTGTTAACTACTTATTTCTGTTTGTTAGAAAACGTTTACCTTTTTGTTGTGTTTTTCTTTTTTCCTTCTCTTTGATTTAGTTTTAGAAGAATCTGAAAAAAAATAAACTAAGTTCAGTATTCTGAAAAAGGCATTTGGTTTTAGAGATGAGGCATATAGGAATATAAAGCATAGGAAGAAAATGCTTTAATTCAGCTGAATGTATCAGCACTGGCTCAAATTAATTGTATGAAAAACAACATATCAGCTTACTGCCATTTACTTACAGGGAAATTGGAAATCTCATTTATGCACTGATTACTTATACCAATATATGACATTAGTGACAATATTTCTCTCTTTCTGCAGATGTGCTTAACAGACTGCAAGTGTCTGACAGCCAGACATCTGGACTCACAAAGAAAGCAACAGAAACGTATTACCAAAGCTGACAAATCACTTGAAAACTCCATCACAGCTAAAGGCAAAAGTAAAACTTTTTCCTACTTAATTGGCCCCTCGGTGAAGCTTCAGCTTACCTCTGCTACTTGAAGATGACGACCTTGATGACGAATGCGATGAGGAAGAAGAAGTGGATGTAGTACTAGAAGATGATGTGGATGAAACGGATGATGATCTGCTTCTGCTACGTTTTCTTTTCCTTTTTTCTTTCCCTTAGGAAAACACAAGGCAAAAGTGACGAGCCTGCAAGTAGCTACAAAAATGATTTCGCAGAAACTAAACATAACGAAAGCATATTTTGAGGAGGGTTCTTCTTCTGTTTCTTTCTTCCAGTGTGCCACAGTCTGTTATCATTAGCGAGCGACTACAGTAAAGATGACAGTTAAAGATGGTAGCTGACACAGAGGATAACAGATCACACACAGCACCGTGGCTCTGGAACTGACCAGCTGTGCCTACCTCGGACTTTCAGGTCCTCTGTAGAAGCTGCACTGAGCAGCCTGCCTTTCTCATCCTTCTGGTTGTCCATACCTAGTGAGACAAAAGCTTGGTCAAGAGCACCATCTCCAAAAGCCTTGGAGGAGAAAAGAAAGAGGAAGGGCACGGTGAAAGAGGAAAGGCGAGAAGGCATCTAAGACCAACCCCGCCAGCACCCACACAGAGCGCATTGCACCACGGTGAAGCAAAAGTTTAGGCTTCCATCTTCCTGCAGCAGGAATGTGTGCCAAGACCCCGTTTGTGCGTAACCTTCGAAGATGTCACTATCAACGCATTTACACAAAATTTCTCGCCAAAGCGACTACAAGCCGACAGCGCATTACGAGGCCACGTTCCGCGACAGCGAGGAGCGATCCCCGGCCTACGCAGCGTTGAGGCCGCCGGGACGGCTCCAACCGGAGGGCCCGGCTCCCCGCCGCCATTTCCTGCGGTGCCCCGCCCGCAGAGCCCGACGCAGAGCCGCACTTACCGGGCCGGCCGCGGCGGCAGCACGGACCCGGCTGCGGCTCGGCGCTGACCCGGAAGGGCTGGCGGCGACCGGGAGGCGGTGCTCCCCGGCCCGGCAGAGCGTCACGGCCCGCCCGGCACCGCGGTCGGCACCGCCCATGGCAACGGCTGCCCGCCGACGGGACGCACGGCACTCCGGAAAGGTGGTAAACGTTATTTATTCTGACCCTGTTTTTGCGTATCCAGTTATGACGTTAGGCTAGAAAAATGCCTGCACTGTAGTAAGAGATACTCAAACAGTTACAAACGGTCAGTAACTACATAAAAATACACCGTGTGCTGATGTAGAACACGCTTTTGGTTGTTTACTCAGTACGACGTTATTGAAAGGTTTTTTGGTATTTATCATGCAACGACAAAATCCTTCCCCAGTAATCATGCTAGACAACGTTTTTCCCTAACCCTTGAGATGAAATTTAAAATGCGGTTCTCGAGTAGTAAAAATCGCTGAGAATCTTAACACAAAACTCAACTATTGTAACAAAAGAAACCAGTTTAAATAAGATCACCTTAGAAAACAAGTAATTTTCTCAATAAATTCATTATAAAATAGGCAGTACTCCAACGGGGACATTTCTGTCACCCAGGGGGAATCATTTGTGCTTCAGAATTTTAAAAGGAACGTTCATGGCAAAACGGTAACGCCAACACAGGCACAGCCTGCCCAAAGATGAGCACGCTCCCAGCATTGGCCCGGCAACACACTGACACACACCCACATCACTACGCCATCACCAACTCAACAGACAGAAATGGAGTTCTAATAGTACTTAGCTCTTTTCATGCTCAAAACTCTTCACAAACATTTAAATAGTCCTAACACTTCCACAAGTATTATCACCCCCATTTTATACTCGGGGTGTGGAGGCAGAGAGGTCTGTTATTCATCCAGATACAGAGTGCGTCCTTTCCGTCCTGCTCCAGTTCTCCAGGGTCTTCAGTCTTTCATTTTACACTTCACACACTGACACCAGTGCAGCTGACACCACTCGGTTATTCCTTTGAAAGTATCAATCAATACGAAGTCCACATCAGAGGCTTAGAATCAGTGTCCCACGATATCACAATATCTTTCAAACAAACTTCTCTTTCTGTAACGAAAAGTGTTAAGGACACGAGGCCCAATTCTCTCCGCTATGTGGAGAAAATGGACTGTAAAGTCAGTCATGGTGGTGATACAAAAGAACAAAATCGGACCTTTATCATCTGTCCGGTCACTATGAAAACCCCTGTGTGCCCATCATACACAGACGTGGTGCAACAAAAAGGACTTCCAGATGTACTACCTTACTGTGATGTACAGATTGTAAGGCTTCTCCTCCACTCCACCTCCAAATTTGAAAATGTTTGTCTGATCTACATTCCAGAAACTGCCTGGAAAAGTAAATGCCTATAGCAATGAGCTTCCAGATATAAAATACATAAAATGTACTTTGCCCTCATCTTAGTGTCAGTCACCAAATCATATTATATCATTCTGCACAGAAGTGGCATTTTCCATTTTGCCACATTTGCCGTCTTGAATTTTCTACCTTATACCTTGGGGTCTGTGCCCCATTTTGGTTTTTATTCTGCCTGGTTTATTCTTACTCTAAATCCAGCTTGCTCTCATGCCATCCTTTTCAAAAGCTCCAGCTTTATTTTGCCAGTGGGCTGCAGGAGCAGTGGATAATATTTCGCTCTTTCACTACCTGATCTGCAAGAAATGAGACACAAAATTCCGTCACTTCTAACAACAAAATGACTGAGTGTGCAAAATTACATCCATCCTACAAGCACCCAAAAGACTTTAAAAAGGCACGTGTGTTCTTTGCTTGTTGCTTGGTGCCTGATCTTGGCATTCTTAGTGTGTCTCCAATAAACCACATAAAATGCAATTGTTCCCTTGCAATACGGAGAGAACTTAGGATAAAAATGAAGGTCTTCCTAAGTATTTCATAGTTATCAGTAATTGCTCTGCAGCTCTCACTCCTTTTAACAAATGCTCAAACTGCGCTACTCGTGAGACCTGGGTTCCAACAGGAACTTCATTCCCTCGTCTATTTCCCCCTTCATTCCCAAAATTCCAAATTTCTAGGGAGAACAGTGCATGTTATCTGAGGTTTTTCCCAAACATATCCAGAGCTCTTCCTGCCACCTGTAGAGCTGGTTGGCCCAGGGATGCAGCTGGAAGGACAAACTTTTGAAGAATTTTGTCCCTTTTCTTCCAAGAGCTGGCAGCTGAGTACCTTATGGCCATATCCTGAGAGGTAAGAAGGACATGCAACTACTTTTGACCTCAGCTGGGGACTGTGGATGTTGATCACCAGTGGAAATCAGTCCCAAGGCACTAGGCAGGAATGAAAATGATGTTACCACATCCGTTTTGTGACCTTCTGTACAGCTGAAATATCAGGCTAGAAAAGTAAGAGGCATTGGTATTTTGCTCTGGAATTCCTGGTAAAAAATACGTTAATGAAAAAAAGTATGCAAGATCCCTGACAGGTGTCTGGCTGAACCCCTTTCTCACTGCTTTAAAAATCCAGGAGATTGAGGACTCATGATACATTGATTCAAACGAGCTAATATTGAAATGTTTCCATTTCAGACAAGTGAAATGTGCACTGGTGTGAGTAGTGGAGCCCACAGGCCTGCCTGGGCTCCCAAGGGCTTATAGGAGAATTTTCATCCTAAATCACTAGTCCTGTGATGTGAGCCAAGCATTCACACCCAGCTTGTACTGAGCCTAGTCAAAGCACTGGATTGAATGCGTGTTCACATCAGACTGGTCTTACAGCTGCCTTGAAGCTGCAGGCTTGAAAGAAGGTTAAAAAAACAAAGGCTGATGTTTTAACAATTTGTTGTCTGTCACATGGTCCAAGAGCCTTGAAACACATGAGTAGCTGACAGGTGGCAATTCACTATTGCATGGCTAGTAATCAACAAGAAGGCATTTCATAAAAATTAAAGCAGTCACACTGATTGGATACTTTTTTCTTCACAATTCCTCCAGATCAGTTAGATCCACAGCTACTTTCAAAAACAGAGTGTCATCTCTGACATAGGTATTCTTTGTGTTCTCCAGAACTGTGTGTGGCACAAAGCGTGGACAACCAGAGGCAATATTCATTTCTCCATCAGGCCTTTTGAAACTGCTGCTATTGGGGTCAGCTCTAAAGACTTCCACAATGTGATTTTTTTTCCCGGTTTGATCCAAAAGCATGAGTGTAACCTTTTGCTTGAAGGGCCATGGCAACAGTGAGTCGAACTCGCCTCTCATGACAACAAAGTAGAGTGAGACATGTGTTCCTTTGCCTGAGCCGTCCCCATTCAGATAGGCTCTGGCACACAACCTGTACCCACAGCGGCTGGTGTAGAAGGGCTGGCTGAAGATGGAGAGGACACGACCTTCCATTGCTTCTTTTTTCTTCATCTTGTAGTCTGTGATTTTCCAAATTAATTTCCCGTTGTAGCATGTGCCTTCCAAAAGCTTAAATCGTTCTTCGTTTTTATTGAGCTGTGCTTTGTGAATATTGATCTGGAGATCATGTTTGCTGGACTGACTTTCCAAAACAACTGGGAAAAAGTAAAATAAAACTGTCAGAGAGCAGCCAGACTTCAGCTGACAATACATAAGAACAATACTGAGTACAGACTGTTAACTGCAGCTGTTAACCTTTTTTTCTTCCAATTCTAGTTGCAGTGGGTAGTTGAATAAGGAAAAACACTAACTGCAAGCCACATTTACTGTCTGACTAGGGAAACAACGACTGCTACCACCACAGTGCCCCGGCCTCACCAAATCCAGCACTCTGGCCCTGCTGTGCCTCAGGAATTCAGAAGCTGGGCCCTCTGGTGACAATATGGAGTAGGGGAAGGTGGGAGGATGTTTGTGGCATGTACTACCACAGGTTGGTCATAGAAAGCCTGGAGAAGAGAACCCTTTTTGGCTAAGAGTTGCAACTGACTGACTGCAGTACCAGAGCCTCTACTTAGCCACCACAAAGATCCCAGAACCCATGCAGAAAAGAAGGAAGTCCAGACATACCTAAGCGCTGATCATATGTCTCCATAAGGGCAATCTTCTGTTTTACATTTTCAATTGTGTCAAACAGGGGTCTCAAGTCTAATTTACTTTGTTGCTGGTTTGCCATCTGTATTAGCTGTTTCACCTGTGATTCCAGTCGAGCAGACTTATCCAGATGACTGGCAAGAGCCTTCCAGTCAATACCATAGGAAGAAGGTGGGAAGTGGAGACAAGGACATTTACAAAATCAGCCATTTCATTGGAAATAAAGAAATCTTTAACATGTGAGCAATACCAACTACACAGTACAGTCAGAAGTACTCTGCTGCCTCAGGAATGTGTCCAACTAATCCCTCCTTTGGTATTTACCAGCTGAGAAGCCATCCCTCAATTTGATCAGTTCATGCTGCTTTATTTCATTCAACTGATGATTCAAATTCACACCTTCCTATTTTCCATGGGGATCTGGCCATGAGGATTTATACAGTGCTTTTTGCCCTGATTAGATACCCAAACTTCTTTATTGGTTACAACACAATACTGTCATTGTAATAAGAAGGGCTTGGGAAATGTCTGGGAAACAGTATTTGTTACTGTCTTGCTATTAATGACAACTGGATAAACATACTTCATAGTGCATGGTTTAAACTGCAAGAATGCAATTGGCCAAAAAGGAAAAAACCAATGTGTCACTCACCTGTGTGCTTACCATCAAGTTGCTATTTTTACCAAACAGTTGTGTAAACTGTCTGAATTCTTTCTCACACTTTTTAACAGCCTCTGCTAACTGCTGGATTTTAATCTCTTTACATTCCAGGCTCTTGTACAGGTCAGAGATCTAGAGATGGAAAAGTACAGAGTAAAAGGCTCCATGCACAACCAAAATGAGCAGGGATTAAATTAAAACATGTTGTGGTACAGGAGAAAGTAGAGAAGCTTACAGTGTAAAGCCTCTAGCTTAGCTGGATAATTCAAAATTCAAGGATGTGTGCTGTCAAGTACTGACATCCCTGCATCTTAAATCTGACTTGCTATTGCCCAGCTTGCAAAGTGAGATTTTTATAAGCCACAAGTAGGCAGGAGGAGGGAGGCAGGAGAAATGAGGCAGGATGAAGGAGGCAGGAGGCTCTGCACTGCTCTGTGCCACCTCTGCAGAGGGGATGACTTCAGCACCCCAAGGCTCCTTTTCAATGCAATCTCACTGACCTCTGAAACCCTCAAATATTCTATTCACAAACTTGGCATCAATTGCAAGAAGTCGAAAGCAAATGATATAAGCGATGGCAACAAGGCTCCCGTTGTGTCTGATGGAGAATACACACGCCTGAGCACAGACAAATTTCCAGCTAATTGCCTGACTTCACTGGAAGAGCATATTCTGACTTCTGAGGTGAGGACAATAAAACCAGTCTTTTTAGAATGCATCTGAGCTGTAGCAGACAACAAATGCAAAATCTCACGTAATCTCCCAAACTGCCAAGAACAGTGGAAGGGTGTTCATTAAATACAACTTACTTGTTCTTCCAATCTAGAATTCTTGTCTAAAATCTGCAGCATGTGTTCCCGCAGGGCACCATTTTCATGTTCAGCAAGTTTCCCTCTTTTCACCTTAGTGAGGCAGAAGGGGAGTGAAAGAACAAAACAATCAGACACACAGATTTTTGAAGCTGATGGGTAAAAGATTTATTGATGTCAGGATTTAAAATGTCCCCTCTGTGCATTGAAAGTGAGGGAATTACAGTCCTGGTTTTCTGCTGATGCATCTTACTAGAAATGGTTGTAAAAGAACTAAAAATGATTATCTTGATTAACTACTCTGGTTTGGGAGACAAATTTCTAGCACAAGCAATGATCTATAAAACATTACCTTTATATGGCAGCCATACTGTTTGTATGGGCAGTCCACTTCAGTCTCAGGACACACAGTATGATGCTTTTCAATCTGCGTATATTAACAAAGAAACTTGTAATGAAATAAATATTAAGCTCCTTATTACACTGATAAAATCTAAAAACCTGCCTAAGGAGTGAATAGAGGCCAATGTCATGACTGGTTACATAAAGAGGAAAATGAATATTCAGGATCAATAAGCAAGACAGGTGTCTTTCCATACTGCAATACCAGTGCTTTGCAGTGACCAAACACCTCGCTTGTCAGATGGGACATACATCACATTTAGGACCAAACAAAGAAAATACTGAGAGTGATGAAGTTGTATTGGTGTGTGCCAATGCAGTCTGTGATGCGAGTTTCAGTTTTAGTGAAGTGTGTGATTTGCTGAATTGTTGCATGTGAAAAAAATCCTCGTACCTCCTTTTTCAGAATTATCTGTGAACAGTTTTGGAGACAAGGCATGGGATAATCAGGACAGTCATTTTCCTCATGATTCTGGGGAAAAAGAAAAACAAGGCAATGGTTTTCATTTTTGTGAAACAGCATACATAGAAGTAGTTATTGCTACTGGCATGCAAAAAGTAATCATAAACATACACACACAAGCCTCACATCATGTTTTTAAGAGAGTAAGAGTAACTGGTATTACTTAAAGCATTCTCGTTTTTGTTATGCTTTCTCCTTCAGCTACTCAGCCAAGTTTTGTTTCATGAGTGGTAAAACCCCACTGCAATGCTGGAAACGTTTCACTCAGCAATATTAAAAGGCAAATATATGGATGGACTCCAGGGAATGTTTTATAATCTTACCTTTATGTTAATTAACACCACGTGTTCATTACAGTACTGACACATTTCTTCTCGAAATTTACAGTGCTGATTCAAATGATCTTTCAAATCTTTCCGAAGGATTTGATCACAACATCCATCATTAGTGCATCGCACACTTTCAAATAAACACTGCTGAAGATGTTCCTGCAAGACATAAAAGCAAATTAAACCCCGGTATGACATACAGAAACATCTGGCAGTCTGGTGACACGCAAAATTCTGAAAATTTGAGGAGTCCTCCATGGGATTTCAACTTTTCCCACAAACACGCCAGAATGGCCAGCACGTCTTAGCAAGTTTTGCAGAATCAAGCATCTCATTATGCCTAAGCATACAGAAATTAAGTACAGGTGCTGTGGATATAGTAAGGCCATCTCCGTGCTGCCACGGCTCTGGACTTTTGCTGGGCTCAGGCCCTGCTGAGCAGCAAGGCAGTGAGGTTAGGCTGAGCACCAACCTGCTCACCTGTCTTGGGTCTTTCTCCCCAGTTCCACATCACCCTGCACAGA